TCTGTTTGATGTTGGTGTCCAGCAGGTTTACTGTTCTATCCAATTACCACTGGGTGTTTGAGCCTCTGTTTTGAGTTGCACAGCAATGCCGCCAGCTTTTGGTTTCTCGGTGTGTGTGCGTCTTTCTGTGTACTTCTGTTGGTGTGTGGGTATATTTACAGGTCGCTCTATTTTAATCTCCAAGTCCACAGGGGTTAGAGGAGACCATCGGCTCAGGATTAGGTTACCACCCCAACACAGTTGAGGAATTACAGAAAGTGTGTGTTTAACGCCAAGTGACCTGTCCGGAACAGTCGGACGTGGCTCTTTGCCCCATTTTAATCAGTTTTTTAAATAAGATGCTCCATTTCGGCTTTAAAGGAGATTAATATTAATTTCCCCTTTTGTGCTAATAAAAGTCCAAAATGCCTGTGGATTTACTGAGAGCTGCTCCGCAATGGCTCAGGTGTTTGTCGTTAGTTCATTCTGTGTGTCTAAGTGTGTGTGTGCAAATATCAAGTAGCTTAATATAACTAGAGGTCTTGTAGAATTTATTCTGGACATGTTTTTTAGAGCGGCAGGCTCTACGCAAACTTTAGGATCAAGGGGAGTGATGCCAGCTCAACCACAAAAGTAGTCCAGGACCCAAAGCCATGCATGCACATGATATGGCTTCTCAGAGCCAATGGTAGGCCTTCAGAATGAAGGGGATATCCTCACACTTGTACCTCAATTACCAACTTATTATTGGGTGGGCAACACCTGAATGTGGGTAGAATCATACCCACCCGTGGCCTCGCCACTGGTTTAGACATGTGCTTCATGACCTGTTTGATGAAAAGTCTTCTCATTTATAACCACATACTAGTATACGGCTACAGCATGCAATCACACTGGATATATGTGCCATGACTGTCTTTCTCTCAGACAGAGTTTATAGCTCATAGCGTGCCATCTGACGCAGCAGTTGGCTCCTGTGTTTAGAGGAAAGGTGAAAAGCTTTGGTTATCACTTCTCTCCATGGTGTAGTGGCAGGCATGTGAAGGACTGTGGAGTGCAATCACAGCTCTATAACACTGCTGGATGGGCGACTGAGTCAGAAAGTCACAGAACAATGGAGCCAGGGATTATTTTTGTAAACTGTCATCCTTGCGATGAAAAGGACTCTGGGTAGTTATTGCCCTGCCAAAACCACAGAGCTACACAGAGAAAATAATATAAAAACACAGTAATAACATATTTCATGATTGTGTGCTTTTGTTCGTAATGGGCATTGTGTGGATTACTTGTGGATTATTGTGATGTTTTTTTATCAGCTGTATGTACTCTCATTCTGACGGCACCCATTCACTGCAGAGCATCCATTGGTGAGCAAGTGATGTAATGCTAAATTTCTTTAAATCTGTTCTGATGAAGGAACTCATTTACGTCTTGAATGACCTGAGGGTGAAAACATTTTCAGCAAAATGTATTTATTCATTTATTTTTTGGGTGAACTGTTTCCTTTAAAATGCATTAATAGTCATATATAATGTTTTTGATGCAGTTTTAGTCAAGTGTTATGCATATTTAAATCCATTTAAAAGTGGTTTGGGAATTAGTTCAACTGAATCATCAAAATATTCAATTGAATTCCATCTCTACCCGGAGTTCCTTGCTCTTTGTGAAATGAAAGATGAGTTTTGTGCAGTGGCATTGGCCTGGAAAACCACAATAACACTTGAACACAGCCGAAGTCTGGCTTCCTTTTATCTTGAAACTTCCTGGCCTAACCATAAACCTTTCACTCTTAGACTCTGTTGCTCAATAGGGTGATGCCACTAAGGTGTAAGAGTGTCAGACTGTCATGACTTGCGTTCCATTTTCACAAACTTTTTTTTTCTCTCTCAGCGATAGATACTAAGAAATAGAAAGTATATGTAAAACATCTGAGTTTTGGCTGTACTGACACACCACTTATTGTTTGTTCTTGATCTGTTCAGTGAGATTTGACATATACTGTACAACCCACACTTTTCTGTTTGCATATAGTATGTACTATGTAAATGCTTATATTGCTATATAAAAATTTTAAAATGCATAACTTACATGTACACTGAATTAAATGTACCAGCTTGAGACCTTGGCTTAAGTCATGCTTTTAATTCTTTTGAAATAAATCTCAAACTAACATTTACCCCATCCTGGCACTAGAAACACAACTGTTTTCCTCCCTCTAATGTTTCTCACACTCTCATTTTAAAACAAATGTCCTTTTTTGGAAAATCCACTGGCCTTTCACCCTGTCTCCATCTGTCATAATGGCCACGATTAACTTTACATTAATTAGTCTGTCTTTTAGCCTATTAATGTGACTGTGTGTACCTTCTAGGATGTGAAGGCTCTCACTTTTCCCCTCTCTCATCTTTTCTTTTCCTTTCTCGCTTTGTTTACTCTTCCAAGGGTGCAACAGCATGATGACACTGGCTCTGGCATCAGAAACTTGCTAATGCATTGCCTTCTCTTTTCTTTTCTTCAGAGTTCAATTCATTTGAAAGAAACTTTATTGGCAGATTTAACACTTACAGTACTTTTTTTCTAAACCAAGAAAGCCCTGAAAATTAAAAATGAATTCGAGGATAAAGCACAAACTTTACAGCGTATAAGGTCTAGTCACCACACAGTTTCTAACAGGCTTGGTTCTGGAAGTATTTTTCTATTCAATTTCTCCATAGGGATTACAAAAAATCTTTTGGGTTTGAGTCAAACCAACTCGATCTAAAATTAATTACAACATTACAAACTTTGATTTGGACCAGAAAATAAAATATGAACTAGAATTCTTCAATGAATGAACAAGTCATCCCATGTAGCATTACAAAAGACACAATTTTAATGACATTGCAACATGCCCAATTAAGTAATTGATTATACAACATAATATTTTTTTTTCTAGTTTTTTTTTTGTTTGTGTGTGTGTGTGTGTGTGTGTGTGTGTGTGTGTGACAGAGAGAGAGAGAACAGGCTTGGTTCTGGAAGTATTTTTCTATTCAATTTCTCCATAGGGATTACAAAAAATCTTTTGGGTTTGAGTCAAACCAACTCGATCTAAAATTAATTACAACATTACAAACTTTGATTTGGACCAGAAAATAAAATATGAACTAGAATTTTTCAATGAATGAACAAGTCATCCCATGTAGCATTACAAAAGACACAATTTTAATGGCATTGCAACATGCCCAATTAAGTAATTGATTATACAACATAATATTTTTTTTTCTTGTTTTTTTTTTGTTTGTGTGTGTGTGTGTGTGTGTGTGTGTGACAGAGAGAGAGAGAGAGAGAGACCATTAAAACATTACTTATAAAAGCCTGCAGGGCACTGCATGCCATACGGACAAAATTATTCAAAATAACCATCCCCATCAGAATTTGGAAAAAGATTTTCGATAGTGTCATACTGCCTATTGCCCTGTATGGAAGCGAGATCTGAGGCCTAACGAGTAACTACAGTCATAAGGACTGGCACAAACATCCTCTAGAAGCTCTGCATGTAGAGTTCTGCAGAAGCATCCTTCATGTTCACAGAAACACACCTAATAACGCCTGCAGAGCGAAGTTAGGCCATCGCCCCCTAAATCTAATCATTAAAAAAATAGTTTTAAAGTTCTGGATCCACTTAAACTCAAGTTCAGAAGATTCTCTTCATTTTAAAGCACTAAAAACACAAAAAAGAGTGCTCAAAAAAGTCAGATTTGTGTAATGGTGTCAGATCTGACTAACAAAGCAGTCGATATCACCAACCCTGAAAAACATGGAATAATCAAAGAAACTATGAATGAATGAAGAGAAGGAGACATACATACAGCATTGGAAAGAACAAACCAAAGACCAAAGTCGTTTCCAATGTTATCTGAAACTCAACAGAGAGTACAGTCTGGGTGACTATCTGGTCTCAGTCAGGAATATAACACACAGACAATTTCTGACTAAGTACAGACTGAGTGACCACCAGCTAGCCATAGAAAGAGGATGACATAAAAAGACGTGGTTACCTAAAGTAGAGTGAATCTGTAATGAATGTAGATCAGGATCAGTTGAGATGGAGGAACACTTCCTCCTCCACTGTGACAAATACACATCCTTAAGAGACTCACTGTACAGTCAAATACAGCAGAACATTCCTGAGTTCCAGTCAATCCAGGAAAACGACAAATTAAGAATATTACTTGGTGAAGGACATACTTCCTCTTTGGTAGCACATCATATTTATAAATGCCACAGACTAAGAGGTAAAGAGTGAACACTTCTACATTAGTAATACCATCAATGTTAATGTACAGTGGGTACGAAAAGTATTCAGACCCCCTTAAATTTTCACTCTTTGTTATTTTGCAGCCATTTGCTAAAATCATTTAAGTTAATTTTTTTCCTCATTAATGTACACACAGCACCCCATATTGACAGAAAAACACAGAATTGTTGACATTTTTGCAGATTTATTAAAAAAGAAAAACTGAAATATCACATGGTCCTAAGTATTACAATGCTTTGGCAATATGTACCTGAGTATGTCATGCCAATAAAGCAATATTAATTGAATTGAATTGAATAGAGAGAGAGAGAGAGAGAGAGAGAGAGAGAGTTATAAACGTGGAACAGTCATGGCAATTAAGAAATTCCTAAACAGACATATACATTTATTTATTGCAGATTGTTACTTATGCTTATCTGTAAAATATTTAATTGGCTATAATAATAATAATAATAAGGACAATTTCTTATTTATAACAATTTATAACACAATTGATATCCCACTTACTTAAGGCATTTATAAAAGCATATATCATCTTTCTCTGAGCTCCTGGTGCATTTCTATGTCTATGTAATGTCAACATTTTATTACTGAAAACAGATAAAATTTATGGGATTTTTACTTCTGGAGCCCTACTGTTGTGCATTATTGCAGTACTGGTAATATTGTTGACTCATGTATGATAAATTGTTTCTGTTTTTCCTCATTTGCAAGTCGCCTTAATGAATGCATCTGCTGATTGGTTAAATGTAAATGTAACTTTTATCATAATGCGATGCTTCACTTAAAAACAACAACAAAAAACAAACATTCCCCAAATTCTGTGTATCTCCTTCACAGTCACTGTCACCTGCGTTATTTAGAGCTCTAGTACCTGTCAGTCCAGCACACCTGAAAACCCTTTAAGACTCCAGCAGCTGTGCAGGAATCCCCAACACGCATCTATCTTCATTCATACCTGCTGTGTCTCAGTACTGAATATCAAAGGTAAGGACTCTGGGTGGAGAATTACAGTTTGATAAGGACTTTAAAAATATATATCCTTTAACTGAACAAATCGCAGCATCCAAAGACAGATCTGTAAAGGCTGGCACAGCATGTCAATAAGTTACTGCTAAGAAATTAAAAGCAAATAACCCCCCCCCCCCCAAAAAAACAAAACAAAACAAAAACAAATGTGAACATGAATACCATACCAACTGTCAAAAATAATGGGTGAAATCTTAAATAACATTTTTATAAAAGCCAGTGTTTTGTTCAACCTGTTTATTAGTAGAGCTTGCTATGATACACACTATTGCTATTGTTTCGCTTGAGGGATTTGAACAACTCCTAGAATACAGATGAACCATATATTGTCACAACTGAGTGTTTATTGCTTTCATGTTTCATCATTCAAAATGTTTCTATGTGCATTTTATCCAGCTACAGCAATAGCTGGATACCTTTATCCAGAGATCATTATTGGGAGATACCAAGGTCCATCTCTCTACCACTGGAGAAAGCTTAATGGCCAACTTGGATCACATGTGCCTTGATAGCCAATCACTTTATAGCCTTGACATCATTGAGTTGTGTGACAGTCAATCACTGTTTACAGATACCATAGAAATAAATGAGAAGTGCCGTAAACTTAATCTTACATGTTGCAAAATTGTCCATGACTTATCTTATAAAACAGCATTTTTGGGGGCGTAAACTATAAAAAAACGATAAATCAATCCAAAACTAATATTTAATGTGAAACACATTCAAGATTAACCAATAGGCTGTCGATTCATTAAATAATAATCTTAATTTTTTGGTCAAAAGCTCTTTATTCTGTGCAGTGAAGTGTCTGTTCCACTGAGATCTGTTAAAAAAGTGGCAATTGGTCTATTTCCCTGCATACGTTTTTTTTTTTTTGCTTACCTTAAAGCAACACTGTGTCTCTAAAATTATTTCAGTGGTAGAACACCTCTTAACCGGACAAATTCTACTGCCGCTGCTACCTGAGCAGCCTCCTAGCCGCTAGAACCACACTCTGTAAGTTTTATGTTCGGGTCGGTACACACAGCCTCACCCATCCCCTGCCAGCGGAAGAGTGTGACCTGCTTTATGGCATGCTCACATATTTAACTCGTAGCCTGGGTAGAGTTAGCCAAAAGCTAACTATAAGACGAAATGATCTAATATGCAAGTCTCAAAACCAGCGCCATGGCAGAGCCAGCAAAGAAACCAAAAAGGGATTTGTCGGAGGAAGCGAAGAAAAGAAAGAGAGAGAGTGATTGGACACAAACCCAAACACGAATCAATATCGGACAGGCTTATACTTGGTGGCACGAACTGAAAGAGGCAATGGGATGCAAAATGGTTGGAGACTTAGCCTTCCTGCTACTGGATTTGTAAGTCTTATATGTAAATTTTTCTTACTGTCCTGTACTTTTGAGCTTATTTGTACAGCGACAGTATTTACGACACTGGTAACAGACAATTGCGCTTATCAAACACATGGGGGAACGGTGAGCAAAAGTTACATGGTGTTGCTTTAAAGGCTTGCCTTAAAGCATCTTTTCTTTATCCATATAGGCCTATGGGATTTCCTGGAATCTCATATAATTTACAACTTCTATGAGTCTCATTTGTGGACTTTTTGCATGAGGGCACCATCCGGCTTTGAGTATGAAAATCATCATCAAATCACCATCAATATTTCTTCAGATGTGCACACTTTTGGACTAAAAGCACTGATGGACGTTGTTTAGTGAAGCGCTTTCATGAAGAATGTACAGGGGCCGGTTGCACAAACTTATTAGACTAGTCTTAAAAGGTTAGTTATCTAATTTCTTTTCTTCAAGACTGCTCATAACTTTTTAAAGTCAGTTACACAAAGTCTAATGTGAATCCAAAAAGTAAGACTAATTACCCCTTGGCTAACTGGTAGTTGGTCAAACTAGTTTGTAAGACACAGTCTTAACATATAGTGTCTATGTTTAAGCAATTGGCCCCAGCAGTTTTTTTTTCTCAATGGATGCAGCTGAGGCTCATGTTTTATATTAAACACCCTATTATGGTGGCGTCTTGTTTGATCTGTCACTCTAGTCAAATTAACACCTAGTTCTAGTCAAATTAGCACCTTATTCAATACAGTAGAGTCATCATCCAGGACAATTTAGATAAACGCTAAATCTAAATCTAATGATAAACTGCTACCTGAGCAGCCTCCTAGCCGCTAGAACCACACTCTGTCAGTTTTATGTTCGGGTCGGTACACACAGCCTCACCCATCCCCTGCCAGCGGAAGAGTGTGACCTGCTTTATGGCATGCTCACATATTTAACTCGTAGCCTGGGTAGAGTTAGCCAAAAGCTAACTATAAGACGAAATGATCTAATATGCAAGTCTCAAAACCAGCGCCATGGCAGAGCCAGCAAAGAAACCAAAAAGGGATTTGTCGGAGGAAGCGAAGAAAAGAAAGAGAGAGAGTGATTGGACACAAACCCAAACACGAATCAATATCGGACAGGCTTATACTTGGTGGCACGAACTGAAAGAGGCAATGGGATGCAAAATGGTTGGAGACTTAGCCTTCCTGCTACTGGATTTGTAAGTCTTATATGTAAATTTTTCTTACTGTCCTGTACTTTTGAGCTTATTTGTACAGCGACAGTATTTACGACACTGGTAACAGACAATTGCGCTTATCAAACACATGGGGGAACGGTGAGCAAAAGTTACATGGTGTTGCTTTAAAGGCTTGCCTTAAAGCATCTTTTCTTTATCCATATAGGCCTATGGGATTTCCTGGAATCTCATATAATTTACAACTTCTATGAGTCTCATTTGTGGACTTTTTGCATGAGGGCACCATCCGGCTTTGAGTATGAAAATCATCATCAAATCACCATCAATATTTCTTCAGATGTGCACACTTTTGGACTAAAAGCACTAATGGACGTTGTTTAGTGAAGCGCTTTCATGAAGAATGTACAGGGGCCGGTTGCACAAACTTATTAGACTAGTCTTAAAAGGTTAGTTATCTAATTTCTTTTCTTCAAGACTGCTCATAACTTTTTAAAGTCAGTTACACAAAGTCTAATGTGAATCCAAAAAGTAAGACTAATTACCCCTTGGCTAACTGGTAGTTGGTCAAACTAGTTTGTAAGACACAGTCTTAACATATAGTGTCTATGTTTAAGCAATTGGCCCCAGCAGTTTTTTTTTCTCAATGGATGCAGCTGAGGCTCATGTTTTATATTAAACACCCTATTATGGTGGCGTCTTGTTTGATCTGTCACTCTAGTCAAATTAACACCTAGTTCTAGTCAAATTAGCACCTTATTCAATACAGTAGAGTCATCATCCAGGACAATTTAGATAAACGCTAAATCTAAATCTAATGATAAATCTGCAGTGTTGCCAAGTCCACAGTTTTACCGCAATTTTGGCTACCTTTACACAGTTAAACTGATCTCCTCTCTCCCCCCGGAATGTGATTTTGACAGAGTGGAAAACCATGATTGGGCTAGTTTTGGACTAGATTTGAAAAGCAATTGGCCTGGTTGTGTTTCACAGACCTGGCAACCCTGCTAATCTGTAACATATTTCAGTAATAGGATTTTATGAGTTAAAAAAGAAAAACAATAACTGTTTAATGCAAGTTATTTCACAATCTGCTAATTCAAGTCCATAACTTGCAGTGCTGCATGTCCCTGTAATAGTGCCAAAAGTAGCAGTGCTCCAGACTACAGCTCTCTCTCTCTCTCTCTGTTTCTCTCTGCTGCCAGTCATATTTCATGAAGGTTCCATTCTGTGTGAGATCCCATATAGAGGTGAATTCTAAAGCAATACTTATCTTACATTAGTATGTTTCACTTGATAAGTGAGAACAGTGTAGGCTTGCTCGCCTCATTGAAGCAAATCATATAATGCATTGTGAGAAGTTCAGTGAAAAAAATCCATTCAAGTTGGCAGACAAAGCAAGAGAAATGTCAATTATAAATCTAATTCATCCAGTAGTGAATAGCGATAAATGTGGATATTTTTATTTATTTATTTTTGCACAATGTTAGTGTATGCTACATAATTGTATGCTTATAAGAGTATCATATCATAAGGTTAGCATCATACTAACATCAAACTTTATTAAAATCAATAGATATTGTGAGTTGAATTTCTTTTGAAATTCTCATAAGAACTACTACCTAAAAATAGCATTTTATATTGGCCACTTATGAAGTTACATTTCAGTTAGGATGTAGGATGTTGGGAATGCAGGCTGTATACACCAATATATCATGTATATTATTAAATAATTTTATTGATAAAATTAATCAAAAATGTTATATCTATGAATATTTGTATTAGAAGTAGTAGTAGTAATAATAATAATAATAATAATGCATTTATTATTGTTGTTGTTGTTATATTTAATCAAGATTTTAATCCATATCCAACAGTATTTATTAAATATAACCTGTTAATAGTAATAATAATTGTACTTATTTGTATGTTTATTAAATAATATATATTATACAACGTTAGTAATAATAATGAAAATTGTATTATTGTATTATTGTATTTTTGTTAATTTTAAAATAAATAAAGGTTATTTTATTAATACCTTTATATTTACGGTACATTAATGTTTTTGATAAAATTAATATTTAAACATAAATTAAATAAAATGTGTAGTAGTAGTAGTAGTAGTAGTAGCAGCCTAGTAGTGGTAGTAGTAGTAGTAGTAATAATAATAATAATAATAATAATAATATGCATTTTATAATATGCCTATAATAATAATTATTATTATTATTATTATTGTTATCATCATTATTATTATTATTATTTAAGTATTATTTTTAAATACAGTATATCTTTTTAATATAGTTTAAGCGTGTTCTTATATTCTGTGAAAGTGATAAATCCAGACAGGTTTGGCATGATGTGCACAACCAAGGGCTCAAGCATAAGACTCTGTGTTTCCTTTCCTAATTTGTTATTGAAATAAAGATCCAGTTGGTGTGGTGGAGGGAAGCATTGTTGTCATATCATGCTGTGATTGTCAAGATCAAATAGTCCTGCTCCTCTTTTTTTCAGAAGTCCGGATTCACCACAAGTGAGCAAGGACACCTTTATCTGAAGACCCAGATCCAGTACCAGATTTTCCCATTGGTCCATTTCCAGGCCTTCCTACCTGGCCGTAAAGGTGCTTTACAGATTTATTCACATAGCTTAGCTTCGGCCCTCTGACATGTATGATGTCAGAGCGCTGCATGATGTGGAAGTTGTTTTTCCCACAGGCCAGAGAAGATCAATAGTCTTTGAAGTATGTTTGCATGTGTATTGTGTGTGTGGGTGAACAGGCTTCGCAGGAGTAATCAGACCTGTAAAGTAGTCTGATGTTGGCTTCTGCGATTTGACCTCCACTCTAGTGAAGATCTACCCATCCTACAGCAAATCCCTACATGTAGATATGCATGTGTTTGCATTTGTGCATGTGTGTGTGTGCATGCATACTAACCCGGAGCATGTGTAGGTGTGTGTTTTGCTGTATGCGGGCTCTTTGTATTCTTTGTATGCTCTTCACTGGATCAAAAGTGCAAGACTCAGTCCTGATCTCAGTGTGTCCCAAATGATTCCTTTGACTGATGTACAAATCACTTGTTTACATTCTTGTACAAGTCTTTACAAGTCTATTTAATCTTTCTCTAGTTTTCTCTCTTGTTTTCTGCTCTGAGAAATATTAAGATCTTCGTTTCTCTTGAACCACACTGCAAAAAAAAAAATGCTTAATCAGTGTTCTGATTATTTTTAATCAGTCTTTTATATATATATATTTTTTTTTTCCATTACAAAATATAATTAAAAAAGGTAAAAGTGATCTTTTCAAAAATGTACATTTACTTGATAAAGTATTTTGCGTATATGTTAGATTCACTTTGCCAATGGGGGATTAATTAAAATAATTAATAATAAGATAATTATTAATAATAATTAGATTGGTTGGTTCTTTTATGTTTGTAATGCAATTTAATAATAATAATAATAGTGCATTTACATTATAGCATTTCTGTATCATTCATTTAGCATATTCTATTGTTCACAAAGGAGGAAAATTATTTAGGAAAAAATATAAACACAAACAATAATCACAAGAAGCCAACAATTTCAGCAATGCCACAATACAAACATTTGATTAAATGTCAATTTACAATCATCGCAATTATTATTTATATGGAAGGAATGATGTGAATAGAGTGCTGGGAAAAATAAAGAAACAAAAGATTGATTGATGGACAGATAGAAGCTCACAGATGGTCAAACAGACATACAGAGGGGATAGATAGATAGACAGACAGACAGACAGACAGACAGACAGATAGATAGATAGATAGATAGATAGATAGATAGATAGACAGACAGACAGACAGACAGACAGACAGACCGACCGACCGACCGACCGACCGACCGACAGACAGACAGATAGATAGATAGATAGATATTTCATATTTCAGCTGCTATTTGTCATTTTCATCCTTTTCTCATTATTAGATTCTCTATAAATGACTCTGATTCTGGCTGAACCACAGGGGTCAGAATGAGACGGAGACAGCATGAAATGTGGACAAAAACACAATTTAACACGTAATATCTCATTAATGAGCTGTATTAGTATTTCGTGAATTTCCCATATTTCAGCTGCTATTTGTCATTTTCATCCTTTTCTCATTATTAGATTCTCTATAAATGACTCTGATTCTGACTGAACCACAGGGGTCAGAATGAGACGGAGACAGCATGAAATGTGGACAAAAACACAATTTAACACGTAATATCTCATTAATGAGCTGTATTAGTATTTCGTGAATTTCCAAAGGTCATGTCTATTCAATTCAGTCAATTAAATATTGATACCCATTACTTTTCAGCTCCGCAAACACACGCACAAACAAGGGAAGCAGCGTGGACAGAGAGGCGTTATAGTTTAGCCACTAATCGCTGTGTCATATAGTGAGGGAGACATCATTGAAAGGTCGTTGTGACCGTTTAACCGTTCCGATTACCTGTTGGTCTGTTTTTCGCACGCGTTCCTTCCAGTGCATTCAGCAGCGAGTGCCCGTTTGTCTCGCTGCGTGTCTTATTGGAGCTCACCGCGCGGTGGCACCGTGCGTCAGCCCCCTCCGCGCGCACCTCTCTCTCCGATCCGCTGCTCATGATGCTGGAGATCTTCAGCGCAACGGGCCGGTTCCTGGGCGGCATTCATGACAGTTTGATCTCTCACGAATACCGTTTCGCATCACAGCGGAGCTTTACGCAGAGCATGGTTCGACTGGACCAAACGGCACCGTGTCGCACTAAAACTGGACTTGGAAAGTTACTTAAACCGAATGAAGCTTATTCTGCATCTGGGCGGACTCAGTGAACGGGAGGTTCTTCACTGCAAAAGACTCGTCTTGGGGATAACAAATAGCAACGCGCCAGGAACAGAGCTAACTTTTGTTTTTTCTGAAATGAGAATAACACAGCGACATTGATCATGAGCGAATTATCACCCGTCTAATCATAGCCTGGGGACCGTTATCAACAGTTCGCGAACTAGAGGCGTTTGCGGTCTGCATTTGGGAATATACTTAATGATCAAACATTTGTTAAGTGAATGCATGAGAGTAGAGCCAGTGGATGAAAGAATACAAGTGTCAGACTTCTGTGCATTGGAGTCGTAGACTGTTAAGAACTGAAGTTTTAACATACCGTTCACAAACTCACACCTACAACGGAGTTGAACAATATTCAAGTTTCAGATATACATGTAAAGAATTAGTCTTTTGAGTCGCACAAGTCCTCGCACGAGACGCGCCACAGACACTCCAGAAAATTACGCGCACAACTGTGGCTGGACTGTGGAGGAGCAACATGTACCCGGCGTGCCGGACAAACGCGTTCAGTGTCTCTCCATCTGCCTCTCTGGCAATGTTTGGGAATTCGGGTGAAGCGAGAAAGAGACCCTGTTGGATTGTAATATTGCTGTCGGTGCTCCTACATCTGGCGTCAGCACAAGGTAAAGAGCGCTTCTTCAAGTTTCTGTGTAAAGGCTGGAAATGAACTGTCTCCAAAGACCCTTAAAAACGCAGAGTGAGCCCGAGGGACTAACATTTAACCTTGAGTTCTGTAGTCATTTAATTTGGCTTAATTACTGTTTAAAATGAACATAGAGCAAGAACAGCATGAGTTTAATGATAAATCATAATACATACAGATGAATCAAGCATGTACAGCATCACTTAACAGTAAAATAAAATGCCTATTTAGTTCTTAATTCACAAAATACGTGCATCTTGCTACATCTTCCCCTATATGTGCGATATGTGCCAGCCAGCTTTGTGCTCGCTCTCTTTCTCTTCTCTTTTATCTCTTTCTCGTGGAGACACTGTACAGCAGTGCTTGTCAATCCTGGAGTCCCTACACTCTTAAAAATAAAGGTGCTTCAAAAGGTTCTTCAAGCGATGCCATAGAAGAACCATTTTGGGTTCCAATTACAGGCTATAATGCTCCAAAAAGCACTATAATTAACGCAATTCATGCAACTCATGCACTATATTCCAAACTTGTATCCGAATTTGCATGCTGTCTGAGTAGGTATACTAGATTTGTTGAGGAACAAACTTTGCAATGTTAAAAAGTGTGTTCTATGTTGTATGAATGTGTGTAGCATGAATGGAATCTGTACATACAACGCTCGTCATGTTCCCATTGTACGGCATCAGTTGCGTCATTCACTGGCATTCACATTATATTTCCCATGACCTCACGGGATAGTAAAGTGTCCATTGGATGTGCACTTGCTGTAAATAATAGGTTCATTTTGTCTACAGTTTAATTAATGCTACAAATTCGAACATACTGCTCATTTCACATACTGTTTACGGACACTGAGACACTGCTAGTAACAGAAAAGGGACGAACAGTTCTCAAAATAATCTTTTTTTTTCATGTGAAGTAGCCTATATTTTAATAATCTTAAGAACCCTTTTCCACTGTTAAGAACCTTTTGGCAACAGGAAGGTTTCAAGGATGTTAAAGGTTCTTTATTGAACCATCAATGTCAATAAATAACCTTTTTTTTAAAGTGTATGATACCAGATCTTTCATTCAGTTAACAAACAAGGAGCCGTAGATCAGCAGAGCCTTTCCGAGAATAGGACTATGTGTTTGTAATTCAAGAAAATGAGACCATTTTATAATACACCCAATAGGGGGGGGGGGGGTGAAGCGATTAGCGTAAATCATTTGACTTCACTAGATTAGCTTCATTAACATGCTGTTAAATGATGTGTTTCACACTTGAGGTTTCAAAAGGAAGACTGTTTGGTGAGTGAGTATGGCAGAGTTGAGACGGTAACTCACCTGGACTCTATGCACGGTGCCGGCACAACAGCGAACTAGAAAACCTCACCTCTGAATGCCATTCAGAGTTTGAAGTGAAGGTAATGACACATTGATTAGAGATGGATGTGATTTGATGATGCTCTTCAACCGAAGGCCTCGTTGTTGATGCACTGTCGGTTTCACAGAGCGCTCCAACACCCAGAACGGCGGATTCTGTCAGTTATACTGCTTATATATCTAAACCATAGTTGGCTTCTCCTTCCGTGACCTTTTCCCAACATTGTCAAAGATAGACAAAGAACAGAAGTTCAGCTTAGGGTATTTCAAGTTTGGATGTACATTACAGTTTTTTTGTAAATCCAGACTGACTGATTTATTCATAGGGTCTGACCTTGGCAACTTGGAGATTTCAATGATGACCTGTTAAGTTGCTTATTCTCGGCACTTAGGAAATCCGTTCGCATGAACAGATATATTGAGCCCTTGTTTCTTTTTCATAAATACGACTCACCCAAAAACTAGGAGACAGAGGGTAGGAACTATTGATTAAGTGTCTTTTTCTTTACTCATTCTTCTTGAATCCTCTCCGCCATGTTAAACAGGGCAGGTGTGAAACTCACTCCTCTTGCTCCCAGCTGGGTCAGCGTGGGTCTGGATGGGGGCCGTTGTCTTCTTCGGACATACTGTTGCCTTGGGCAATGCCTTGGGCCGTTTCAATGCCTGAATACCAATTGCTCATAGGGGCTTGATGTTACCCCCTGAGGACAGCTCTAGTGGTCCACATGAGTGGCTCAACTTCAAATCAAAAGTGAGCTTATCACTCAGCCCATGACTAAACATATTCCAGATACCTGGAAATATTTTCTTATAATACGGACACCGCAGTGATAAGTGATAAGTCTAATGCGAATACAGCATGGATGGAAGTGGAATTTACTGAATTACATTTCAGGGAAATTCAACAGGTTATGGCATCCTGAGAAATGTATTTTTAATTAGTTAAATAAAAAGAAGAGTTTTTGTGTACATTCATTCTTCTTCCTCTTCTTCTTCTTCTTCTTCTTCTAAAGTAATACATATTTTTGTTTAGCAAGGATATGTTTTTTTAGAATTTGAGCAAAAAAATTACAGTAAAAGAGTGAAGACATTTAGAATGTTACAACATATTTCTATGTCAAATAAATACTGGTCTTTATATTTATAACTTTACATTCATCAAATAATTATGGTTTCCACACAAAAAAAAACAGTTCAACTGTTTTCAACACTGATAATTATGAGAAGTATTATTATTAATTCATTTTAATAAAGTAACAAGTAAGGTAATTTCCATTTTAAATGCTGCTATATTCAATTCAGCATGTTATCTTTTGCTTCCCTTGAAATTTGAATTAGTAATTAAGTGAATTTAATTGATACGTCACATCAATCAGAAAGGTTTTGCTTTGCATGAATGTGTCATGTTTGTGACAGTAAATTACCTTTTCTATTCTAAAATAAAATATGCAAAACCATTGCCAAAATGATTAAGGTATGATAAAGCCTGATTTATGTATGGCATAACTTTCATCTGGCATCTAGATGCCCTTTCTGTTTATTTGTTGGCATCATTAGTTAAAATATTATGAAAACAATATTATATTTGACTGGTGGCCTCTTATGATAAATCACAATGCCAGTTACTGTGAAAGGTTATCGTATTAGATGCAAAACACAGCAATGTTCTGTGAAGTAATTTTTTTAATAATTATGTCCTAAAACCCGATCATAAAAGCAAAAAGAGCTGTTAAGGTTCACACACAATGTGTGAGGAGCATATTTTCCATTGGAAATGTCAAAATATCTTCAGTACAATTCATATATTTTACCTGATCTGTGCATTTATAAGAATGCAGAAACAAAACCAAGTCTGTTCTTAATTGTACCTCAGCGACAACATCTGGAAAAGAATATGGAGTCACAAAGGAAATTGCTTGTTCTGTCAGACAGGTACCTTGTAGTTTCCCGTAGAGCCTAATGACTCGCTGTGTCTCAGCTCACCTGGGGAAGTGTAATGGAATCCGCAGAGAAGAGGTGGATATACATAGCACTAGGTAAAATATTACATCCATTTTGGAGTGCTAGCACAGAAGTCAGCAGATATTAAATATTTGAAAATAAAAATACATTCGGGAGAAAATGGAAGCGAGAAATAAAGAGCGAGACTGAGTGAGAAAATGCATGTGATCACAGTTTTCATTCTTGCTAATCAGATAATAATAAACTGTGTTTGCTAAATCAAGCATGGTGTAATTTCTCTACCTACATTCATTATTCCACTGTGTTCTGCTCTTTTCAACCAATCTGTTCATTGCATGATTAGACACGCTAATCCTTCAGTCGCAACGTAAAAAGAAGCCGCGTTTAAAACGCTCGGACAAATCCATTTGTGATTAGAGCTCCTCGGGCTCGAGCGTGGCCAACGAATACAGACAAATGCGCTCACACACACTGACGCACACCCGAATTCTAAGTTCAAGGACTGTGCCAGCGAGGCATTTAGCCATGGTGCGTGTTTTAAATGGTCTCTCTGAGCCCACTGAAGCAGGCATTATGCTACTAGTCAGTTGAGTCATGGCTTCTGAAGCTGTGACGGCACTAGGATATGGCTTTAGTGCCAGACTTATGGGTGTTGCACAGTAGGGATGCACTTTGGTGCCATGGTTCCATCTAAAACAACCGGTTTAAACTTGAAAGAAA